TGGAAACAAGAGCGTTGCTGCTCCCTCCCCCTATGACATTGCTCATCCCAAAACAGATGGTCCGATAAAGCAGTCCTAACAGGAAATCCAAAAGCACTGCTTTCCTGAAATGACGAGGAGAAATGAGCTCACCTTGGTCTTTTCTCTCTCTTTAATTTGGTCAGTATAAGAATCCCAGCATTCCCAGTCACACTAACCTAGCATGTGAAGTCCTTTCTTGTACACACCAGGATCGCATATGGGCACAGGTTTTAATCCCGGTAGCCCCACTTCCCATCCAGCTCCATGCTTGTGGCCTGGGAAAGCAATTGAGAATGGCCCAAAGCCTTGGGACCCTGCACCAGCATGGGAGACCTGGAAGAGGCTCCAGATTCCTGGCTTGGGATTGGCTCAGCTCCAGCTGTTGCAGTCACTTGGGGAGTGAATCGATGGATTGAAGATCTTCCTCTCCATTTCTCCTTCTCTCTGTATATCTGACCTTGGAATTAAAACAATAATAATAAAAAAATTCCAAGATTCTGGGCCCAGCACAATGGTTTAAATGGCTAATCTTCCCTTTAGAAGTGTGAGGATCCCATATTGGTACCAATTTGTGCTCTGATTTTTCAGTTTCTCATCCCTATTTGTGGCCTGGGAAAGCAATGGAGGATGGTCCAATACCTTGGGACCTTATACCCAGATGGCAGACCCAGAAGAAGCTCCTGACTTCAGATCAGCTCAGCTCCGGCTGTTGTAGTCACTTAGGGAGTGACCCAGCAGATGGAAGATTTTTCTCTATGTCTCTCCTCTCATAAATCTGCCTTTCCAGTAAAAATAAATATATCATTAAATAAAATTTCAAGATTCTAAAGACCAGGAGAATTGGCTTTCATGTGTCTCCCCATTCTATAGAGCAGAATATACATCTATAAATGCAATGTAAAACTGGTAAAAATGTGATTTTATGAGTAAGTAAGAAAAAGAAAATGAAACTAGGTTTTAATTAAGAATAGAGCTTTATCTTTACCCTAATCAGAGGAGAAACAGATAGGAGGTCCAGGCAGATAGTGGTGACACAAAGGGCAAGGAAGAAAAAATGGAAGTAATCAATATTGTCATGATGCAGAAAGATAAAATATGGATATCAGGCTTATCTGAATTTTCAGCTAGGAAGTTCCTCATAATATAATGAAGAGCGGTCTTGTGGAGTTAAAACTGAAGTAAAAGAATCAGAAGTAAAGAAGTAGTTTCAGAGAGTGTAAACTATAGAAGCTGACTATAAAATGATGGAAATAAATAGAAATAATAACAGGTGGCCAGATTGAAGGGCAGATTTTGCCCCTAAAATAGTTAAGACACAGATTAAGAATAAGGAGATAGGGCCCAGCATGGTATCCTAGTGGCTATAAAGGCCTTGCCTTGTATGTGCTACGATCCCATATGGGCACCAGTTCTAATCCTGACCGCCCCCGCTTCCCATCCTGCTCCCTGCTAGTGACCTGGGAAAGCAGTTGAGGATGGCCCAAAGCCTTGGAACCCCAAACCTGTGTGGGAGACCTGGAAGAGGCTCCTGGCTCCTGGCTTCTGGCTTCAGATCAGCTCAGCTCCAATCATTGCAGTCACTTGGGAAGTGAATTAATGGATGAAAGATCTTGCTCTCTATCCTCCTCTCTGTATTTTTGACTTTCCAGTAAAAATAAATAAATATATATTTTTAAAGATTTATTTTATTTTTATTGGAAAGGCAGATATACAAAGAGGAGAGACAGAGAGAAGATCTTCTGTCTGATGATTCACTCCCCAAGTGAGTGCAACAGCCGATGCTATGCTGATCCGAAGCCAGGAGCCTCTTCCGGGTCTCCCACGTGGGTGTAGGGTCCCAAGCCTTGAGCCGTCCTCAACTGCTTTTCCGGGCCACAGGCAGGGAGCTGGATGGGAAGCAGGGCCACCGGGATTAGAACCTGCACCCATATGGGATCCTGGGTGTGTAAGGCGAGGACCTTAGCCACTGCGCCATCGCGCCAGGCCCAATAAATATATATTTTTTTAAAAGAAGAAAGAGATAGTAATGGAAGAGAGACAAAGACAATAGAAAGAGGATAAGCTGTTGAGGAATTCTAGAAGTCAGGCTATCAGAGGAAAAACGAATATATTAGTCTTGGCCAAGAGAAGTGGCACAGCTTCTTAAGTGTGTGGGAGGACAGCAATGGCAGAAACAACTGAAGAAAAGGTTATAAATGAGACACAGGAAGTGGAGAGATTTTGTCTTTCTAATAGCATTTATTTTTCCAAAGGAGTTTTGAGAGAACTGGAGGAAGGAAGGATATAAAATAGCTACCATGTAGAAGATGGGGGACCACTATGGAGAGGACTGTGACATTCAGGGTTCTGCAGTGGTTGATGCCCCTTGCGTGTGGTAGCACCAACGTGTGTATTATTGAGGGATTTCTTTACTCAGCTCTCTGGGACAGAGGCAGATGTTTGAAGGGAGTGAGCACACCAGAAAGTTTTTTTGGGTGTATATTGTGATTTAACTAGATGTGGAAGGGCTGAGGATGCCAGTGAAAGAGCTATTCTAGTGGTCTTAAGGCTGATAGGAAAGGCAGTGAAGTCAGAAGGGGGCTGGTAGCCTGGAAGAAAGTTGAGGCTGAGGACTGGGAAACTTTAGGGAATGGAAGTAGGAAGCTGATAGAAAAAAAGAGGTGAAATATGGAAGAGAAAGATACTGTTACAAAGAGTAATGTTGACGTTGTAGATTTCTGATATGGAACAGATCAGGATATGGAAGATTGAGAGTGTGGCCTTTGGAGGGGATTGCTAAAGTGCTGTGAACATAAGTTTCAAAGGAGCTATAAAGGTAGAAATGCCCTCACACATATAGGGTAGTGTTTTGGAGAAAAACAATGATTTAGACTACGAGGAGGTAATAGAATAAGACGCAGAGCCTGAGATACAGGGTAAAAAATTGCATGAAGGTAGAAGTCAGTGTCTAAAGTCAACGTGTAACTAGAAAAATCTGAGCCTTTTTTACTTCCTCTCTCTAGTTTAGATACCCCCACAAACATTTTCTAAAGGTTTTTTAAATTTATTTTTAAAGTCGGATTTAGGGACAGGGAGAGACACAGAGAGATCTTCCATCTACTGGTTCATTTCCCAAATGGCCACAGCAGGCAGCACTGGGTCAGAATGATGCCAGAAGCCAGGAGCTTCATCTGAATCTCCCACGTGGGTAGCAAGGGCTAAACATTTGTGTCATCTTCCACTGCCTTTCCAAGGTCTTTAGCAGGAAGCTGGATCAGAAGTAGAGAAACTGGGATATATGCATCACAGGCAGTCGCCTTACCCACTATGCCACTATACTGGCCCTGATTAAACCCATATGATTAAATCCTATTTGGATTACAAAAATAACTTTAACTGTTTCACCTGACTTTGATCTTTCTCCCCTTATATGCAGAGGACTACCAGCTTAACCTTACAAAACAGCGTTGCCAACTTTCATCCCTGCCTAAATTTCAGTAGTTCTTCAACTCTCTATAGAATAAAATCCAAACTCCTTAACCTTACCTTGAAGATTCCAGGAACAGCGGTGGCGTCAGTCTATTCCTTTGTTTTGTTTTGTTTGCATCTATTTTCAGGCACTATCAAATATTTAGCTTGTATTTATTTAAATTTTAGACTATTTAAGAGAGTTCTCCTGAAAATGGTTTTCTTAATTGTCTGGAATGTTCTGGCCACTCATCTAGAATATTCAGCTCCATTTGTTCTTTAAGGACTAATTCTAATGTAGATCGCTCCCTGCTTCAAATGACATTTACATTCTCTGTCCTTCATTTATGGGAAATTCCACTTGAAGTTTGCAGACTAGTTATGTATCTAATAAGAAAGAACTACGCTTAATATATCAAGGTTTCCCTCCCATTGCACCCTACCCTGCCCCTCCCCACCAGGTAAGACACCTAGCTCAATATTTTATCCTTAGTGAGTATCCAATGTCTGCTAACTAAATGTGTTCAATCATGAATGGATGAGTAGACCTCTTCCACGTTATAGTGTAGTGTTAAGAGCAGAAATCCTTTATTGGAAGATTACCTTCTTAAGGCTTAGGGTTAATACTATATTTTTCAAATCTTTGAAACTCAGTGCTGTTCCAGGGACATCAAAAGCTAAGTACATGGAAGAGAATCATATTGAATATTAGTAAGTGGAATTGAATCGTTCCCAAATTCTCTGTAGAATGAATAGGGTCTGTGTCACAGCAAACAGCTGTTTAGGACTTGAAGTGAATGATGTGTTGCCTTGCAGAACTGCATCACCACTCTCTTGAGACCCATTGATTCAGTGTGTATTATGTCACAAATTATGATTGATCAATGTATAATAAATTTATTCAAGACACTAGGGAAGAAAACTGGGGAAAAGAAAGTACAAGAATGAGTTGGCTTATTGATTTTTCTTTTAATCTCAAAAAGACAAAATGCATGCCTAGGTTGCATTTTTACTCCAGAATTTTCAGAGGTAAACTTCTTTTTTTTTAAGATTTATTATTTTATTTTATTGGAAAGGCAGATATACAGAGAGGAGAGACAGAGAGGAAGATCTTCCGGCCAATGATTCACTCCCCAAGTGGCCACAACGGCTGGAGCTGATCCAATCCCAAGCCAGGAGCTTCTTCCAGGCCTCCCACGTGGGTGCAGGGTCCCAAAGCTTTGGGCCATCCACGACTGCTTTCCTGGCCACAGGCAGGGAGCTGGGTGGGAAGTGGGGCCTCCTGGATTAGAACCAGCGCCCATATGGGATCCTGGGCGTGCAAGGAAAGGACCTTAACCACTATGCCATCGTGCCGGGCCTGAGGTAAACTCTTCTTTATGGATCATTATTTCACAGTAAAATTGTGAATATTCCCTACCAGTTTAAGAGCTTGAAGCAAAAAGAATTGATTAGACATAGTGAGCCCTCCAAAAAAGCAGACATCTCATGTTCATAAAATAAACTCCCTCCCTTTTCTCCTGTCTGGCCAGGCTGCAACAACATGCTGATGGGAATCAAGTCTCTGAAAATAGTCAAGAAGACTGTGAACACAGAAGGCGCCTGGATGAAAGACACTGTTGGTGACTCTGCAAAGATATATTTCTTAATTGGATCCAGAAACAGCACTGTTTGGGAATTTGCAAACATGCGTGCATTTATGGAAGACAGCATCAAGCCAGCCCCTCGAAAGCTAATCCTAACACTTGCCTGGCAAGGATCAGGCCAAGTGGTCTACAAAGGTTTTCTTTTTTTTCATAACTCTGGAACTACTAATGAGATTGTCAAATACAACCTGCAGAAGAGGACTGTGGAAGATCGAATGCTGCTCCCAGGAGGGGCTGGCAGAGCACCAGCATACCAGCACAACCCCTCTGTTTACATTGACTTGGCTGTGGATGAGCACGGGCTCTGGGCCATCCACACAGGGCCAGGCACCCAGGGCCATTTGGTTCTTACAAAAATTGACTCTGGGCCAATGGGAGTGGAATATTCATGGGACACCCCATGCAAAAGCCAGGATGCTGAAGCCTCGTTCCTCCTGTGTGGGGTTCTCTATGTGGTCTACAATCCTGGGGGTCAGGGCCCTCATCGTATCACCTGTGTGTATGATCCACTAGGCACTATCAATGAAGAGGACCTGCCCAACTTGTTCTTCCCCAGGCGACCAAGAAGTCACTCTATGATCCATTACAACCCCAGAGATAAGCAGCTGTATGCCTGGAACGAAGGGAACCAGATCATTTACAAACTCCAGACGAAGAGAAAGCTGCCTCTGAAGTAACGCATCATCACAGCCCGGCAGGGCAGCGTGCTCAGCTTGGCAGCTGCTGTCCAGGACACTGAGGCCACAGCCCCTACATGATGTAGTATCTCCCTAGTGCTACACAGAATCAGGGTCTGGAAGTCAAAATACATATGCATCCTTTCCCAGATGTCACTGCCGTTGGAGTCTTCCAAGAGCTTAGATAAGATTCTATCGCCTGGAATTTTCAGCAACATCCATTACTCATCTAAGCCTCCTGCGTTTCATGGCTTTCCACAGTCCGATGCAATTTCCTTCTAGCGTTTCTGAGTCGCCAGCATTCCCTCTGATGCTGCCCTCCTTCCTGACACATTAACGACTGTTTACCACCCTATAATGTTCACTGGCATCTCTCTCCTTTGGCCGTTGTTCAAGCTCTTTCCCATGTGTCCAATGCCTGTTGATATTCTCCCCTTTTTACTGCTCCACTAAAGTACTGCTTCTTATGGATGATTAATCTCTATTTTCCCTAGCCCTGTCCTTCTGCCAAGCTAGGTGGATATAATAACATGGTAAAAACATTAACATTTGAATCCAACTTTGCAGCTACTAAGTGTTTGCACATCATTTAATTTTCATCTCACCCTTGTAAGACATGCACAGCAAATCTTTATAATTGCCATTTAACAATGAGGAGCGTTTAGGTGAGTTATTCAAAGTAACACAACTACGAGATGAAAAAAAAAAAAAACCAGAAAATATTCCCCGATTCACAGTCTTTCCATTGCCCAAGGAAGCATCAAATATGTATGTTTGTTCACCCAGCCTTTCATAATCAATGTGTTCATCACTTCAGCCTAAAAATAACAGGCTGTCTCTCTAGTCAGTTTTCATGTCTGCATTCAACCTGCCAATCGGCCTCTGAAAAGCCACTTCCCCCAGAAAACCTGTGTAAGGGTTAGGATCTCTCCTCTAGCCTCATCTTGTCTTACTGCTTGTCCCCTGCTTCTCTTTTCTTGCTTTAAATGCAATAAAAATGGCACTAAGCAAATAACCTCATCAGGTTATATTTGTGTCCATACCCTCAGCATGAAAGCTTTCAGAGTGTGCTGCCTGTGACGCCTCTCCGGTGAACAATACCCCCACACCAAGGCCTTTGGTAAATATGAAATCTGGAGGAGGGCCAGATCCCAGGCCAGCGGCTGCCACAGCAGGTGTGCCGCGTGGCACAGAGGGCAGCATGCCTCTCCAGAGGGGCTTCTTCAAAGTGTTTCCCACGTGTGTGTTTCCGCTAAGTGCAGGTCACAAGTGCAGACCGCGGTGCATGTGTGTGTCATTGGCAGAGGCCTCTGTCTTTCTAGGTTGGTCACTTGAGAGAGGATTTGCTTTGTGTGCTTGCAGCTGTTTTCCCTTCTTTGCCAACCCAGGCTGGGACAGGGGAAAGGAAGAAAAGTTTGGTTTTGTTTGTAGCAGCCTGGTGGGAAGAATGGAATCGCTCAATTTATGGATATACATAATTGCCTACAGTTCTTAGTAGAATGGCACAGAACGCCCAAATACTTTGTGGAATGAGGCACACATGAATAAGTGAATGAGCCAGCACCTGCGCCTTAGCTTCAGAGACATTACCTACTCCCTAGATAAAACAACATTATCATTTGTGTGCAAGGAATGTGGCCTGATTGGCTAAGGGAGGTGGAGTGGCGTTATCAACTGGAATGAGTCCTTCCTTGAGAGGCACAGAGAGATTGCCTGTCATGTACTGTCTGGCTTCTGTCTGCGACAGGCTTTGACAGTTCTGCAGGGCATACCTGCCCCTGACAATTCACCCTGGTACTGTACATCCCTGCAGCTAGAACTTTCTAGGTTACAGCATCTCCTCCAGGAAGCCTTTGCTAATGTGCCACTCACTCCTGGGGAGTGGGACAGGCCAGCATTGCAGGCTTGAGGGCACCTGCTGGGGTCTCTTTCAAGTGAACTTTCAGCTTTGAGGTCTCCTGTTGTATTTAAGTAAGAATTGATACCTTTGCCACCTGCACCAGTTCTTAAAATAAGAATCACCTGATCCTGTTAATGCCCAGGCCACACTCCTAAATCATTCAATCAGGACCTCTGGCAGTGGGATGTAGTAATTTTTTTCAAGCCTCTCAAGTGCAAATAAACTTGAGTCCACAAGTTAACAAAACTTCAATAAAATAACTGCATAGCTCTAAGAAAGGCTTGCATTTTCTGGGGGCTGGGACAATACACGCAACATCTAGAAACAGCCATGAACTTGTGTGAACCGTGGCAGGCTGGTCTACAAGAGCCTCTGGGCTGCTATTTTAAGGAAGTGAGAACTGAAGAGCGTCCTGTTGTAACACAACTCTTGTGGGCCCCAGCCCTCCTCCGCTTGGCCAGCAGCAGCAGTGGCCACGTGTCTCCCATTTGCCAGGGTGGCTCAAGTTGTGTTCACATGGAAAAAAGTCTCTGGACACGGGCCATTTCAGATCAGGAGGGAAAGTTTGAAGGGAAAACAAACCAAAAAAAAAAAAAAAAAAGAGATATGCTGTGGAGTTTGTCAACACTCCAGCTGGGACAGAAAACTGAGAGCCGGTGCTGTGGTGACTTTACCAGAGCCTGGGGCCGTGCCAAAGTTCCTGGTGTTGCTGCCATCCGAGACCCACAGGAATCTGAACCAGCTGAATTGAGTAGCTGGACCCTGGATATCCACCTCGGACGGCAGGATATCCGCCCTCGGACGGCTACCCAAAGGGATTCAGGTCACATAGAGGGGTAGGTGCTGGACCGGGGCTTCAGGGCGCTGCCCTCCCGGGCTGCAGAATCCATCCCAACAGTGAAATGTCCTCTAGTATCTCAGGACCGCGATACCCGATTTGGTGCCGGTGGTCTTTGGCTGTTCACCGGACGGCACCAACCACTAGAGGGACCTCTGCACCAGGTTGCAGGGTTCAGGCACTACGGGTCCTAGGGTGACTTAATCTTCCAACCTCCGGGGCGGGGGCACCTCAGAGACAAGGAATGAGGCTTGTCCTTGGGACTGCACTTGGGCCTGGAAGGATCGCTGCCCGGGGCGGGGGTGCCTCTCTACGAGTTTCTGACGCTTCTCTCTTCGCAATTCTCAACGCAAACCACCTTCGGGCTTCCTCGTTGTCCTGCCCTTAGTCCCCGCCGGGAGCAGCGCCCAAGGGCTGGAGGAGGCCAGAAGATGAGGAGAATGAACGCTAAGGAGCCGCCCGGAGCCGCCCTGCGGGAAAAAGCAGGAGAGCGGGCGGAGACAGGACCGCGAGGGGGCGGGGCTCCGGTGAGGGGCGGGGCGAGGGCGGGGCCTGCCGAGGGAGGCGGGGCTTGGGCCTGGCCTGGCCCGCGGGGAGGTGGGTGGGGAGAAGGCAGGTTCGAAGGGGCGGGGCTGCTGGGCCGGGGCGCCGGGAACCCGAACGCCGGTGCACGGGTTCCCGCGGGCCGCGGCGGAGCCCGTGAGGTCGGGGGCGTGGCACGGGGCGGTCCCCAGCAGAGGTCCCCGGGTGGGGGTGCGGGCGCTCCGGGACGAGCCTCCGGCGGCTGCCCGCCTCCGTCACGTGGGCGCCGGCCGGGCCGCTGCCGCTCGGTCCGCTGGTTGGTCCGGTGGTTAGTTGGTCAAGGGGCCGGTGGCCTGTGGCTCGGTTCTCCGCTCTCATGTTCCGAGGTGGGAGGGACACGCGAGCCGCCCAAACACCTGAGGCGCCGGGAGAGGAGACGCGGCCCCGCACTCAGGTCAGTGGAGTCCCTTCACGCCCCCGGCTTGCCTCGCGGTAGGAACGGGGACATTGCCTTCGGGGAGGAGCTAGAAAACCCCTAAACCTCAAGAACCGCACGGGACGTGGAGGACAGAGCCTCTTAGAATGTCCCAGGCGCGAGCACGGGAACTTTCTCTGGCGAGAAGAATGGGAGGGGGGTGTAACTCGCGTGGATCTGAGGGGAATCCTGCCCCACGCTGCCCGGGCTCCGCAGGCGGTCCGAGCTCCTACAGGTGCCAGGACGGCCGGGGAGTTGGTGCGGGTGTGTCCCGGCTGGAGCCTGTGAGCAGTGACCAAAAGCGGGGAGCCTTCCTTAGCGTAGTAGGGCTGTGAGCCCAGCAAAGTGCTGTTCCACGGGGTGAGGGTGGGTTGCTGTGCTCCGGCTGAGGCCAATGCTATACTATAATTCCAGTATACACGTATTTTATATGCTTTTCAGAAGCTGCAGACACTGAGTCAAAAGTGGGCTGCAAGATGCGATGGCCCTACTTAAAAATCCCCTCTGGAGGTCCCAGCCCCAGGCCCCTAGTGTTCCCTCAGATGAAAATAAGATTATATTCTCAAATACCAGAACTTCAAGTGTTAGTGTAGGATTGAAACAGGGCAGTTTAATCCTCTTAAAAATCTAATTATATTTTTAATTTTAGAGCAACTATTTCGTGCAGCTCCATCTCCCTTTCGGAATTTGGGTTACTTTCTGCCTTTATCATTCTCCTTGCTCCACGCTTCTGTAATTGATTATAATGCAAATCCAAAGTGTTTCCAAATTTCATGATATATTTTGTAAAGTTAGATGCTCAGCTACAGTAAAGTAGTTGGCCATTGTCGCTGACACGCAGCGATGGACTTGGTGCACGGAGCCGATAATAACACGCGTGGACCCTGACTGATGGTCAAAGCCGAAGTTTATTAGGGGCATCAGACTGTACACTGAGAGTCCGTACTGTTTCCCTGTCTTGATTGGAATTCCTCTTGTTTTGTATATCCCACCAGGTTTTCTCATTTACATGCTGTTTATACCAAAGGTAGCTATTTGGTTGTTGTCATGCAAATACTGTCCAATGAACTGCAAACCTGTGCTCACTGACCTTCCAGGGTCACAATGTCCTCCTACAGGCCATATTCATAATTCATCTTCAGCACGTTCTATCTTTGATTATTATTACCATATGGAATGTGTTAATTACTGTCTCCTTTAGAAATTATTTCTCTTAAGTTTGAGAGACAGCCCACAGTTTAAATTCATGTTTAAATGAGTTTGAAGTGGGAGATGTGATTTTCTTACTGTATTTTAATTAGTAATATTGGTCTGAAATATAGTAATATGAGATTGGCAAATTTTTCACTTACTGCATTTATCCATGGTTCTCTGCTATATTTTAATGATTAGTAATATTGTTTTGAGATATAGTGATGGGCCAGTTATTCACCTGTCACTATTGGGGAGACACGCTGAGTATTGTGGTCTTTTCTTTAATGGAGTATTTAAGGCAGATGTGCTATGATTTTTAAGACTATGTGGTGTAAGTTAATGGTAGAAACAGTTATGGAACTCCTACGTTTCATCTGAACAGGGGAAATCTGGTGCAGTTTGAGGAGGGGATTGTGTTTGGTAGAATTCAGAGGACTGCTGCTGGGTTTCTCTAGGCAGAGATGGGCAAAAGCATGGCCTGAACTGAAAATTGTGTAGGTGGGTAAGCTTGGACTAGCCTTGGGGTGTGGCCAGGGGTCTAGTTCGCTTCTTGTGGCCAAGTGGTGGATATTTAAGCTGGTAGCAAAGGGGGACTATTGTCCTTGCAGACCATGGGAGTTAATGATTAGTTTGTGTGTGTGTGTGTTTGAAGATTTATTTATTTTTATTGGAAAGGCAAATTTACAAAGAGAAGGTGAGACAGAGAAAGATCTTCTATCTGCTGTTCATTCCCCAAATGGTCACAAAACAAAGGTGAGCCAAACTGAAGGAGTTTCCCACCTGGGTGCAGGGTCCCAAGGCTTTAGGCCATCCTCCGCTGCCCTGCCAGGCCGTAAGCAACAAGTTGGGTAGGAAGCAGAGCGACTGGGGCAGGGAACTGGGGCCCACATGGGATACTGGCACCACAGGGTGAAGGATTGACCTCTAGAGCCATAGTGCCAGTCCCAATAACTAGTTTTAAGTAGGGAAATTGATGGTTCTGTGATCCTCTCAAAGTCAGTCCTTGGCCCTTGACCCTTCTATCTTCTGGCCTGATAGGGAGAAAATCTGGTAAATATTTGTGAAAGGCAATACTTTAGATCAATGCTTCTTAAATTTACAAGCTTGATAATCACCTGGGGATCACCTTTAAAGG